TTAAATTTAAATTTAAGATTTTATTTAAATAATATTTCTATTGAATGTATGACTTTATTTTATTTAGACTTTATTTAAATAAAAAAATTAAATGATGAAATAAGTTAAAAATCCAGCTCAAATGTCAAATTTGTAGCCATAAAAGTATGACATGACAATATTTTGCCATCCAAGCAGCCAGGCGAGCAAGTCCCAAACGGCAGTTAAGCCAGGCGAGCGAGTCTCAAATGGCGGTTTGGTTGGCGTAAGAAGAAGGGCTTAATTGCCTTGATAGCAGAGTTTAAGGGCTTATATGCATCAATTAAAGTTTATGGGCTTAATAGCCATTCTGAGGTTAGTTTAGGGGATTAACTTATGGTTTTTCCATTTGTTAATGGCTTGGATGGCATTTTACACGTCTTTACATTTGTTTTTGTGTTTACCTTATTTGTTTTAAGTAATAATATATTTTTTAATCAATTAATTAATATTATACAATATACATATATATATATATGCTTAGATGATATTTTTTACCAAAATAATAACATATTTTTTATTTTATATTTTAATTAATAATACTTTTTATTTCAATAACCCTCTTAATGGCACTTGAACCTTTAGATACAATGATATCAGGTCACGTATAAGTGTTCGATTCGAAGTCCTTGCAAATTTATTAAAAAAAAAAAAAAACCCTCTTAATGATAAGGCAAGAGGGACGACCATTTGCGTAACTGCCTTCACCAGTCACAACACGCAAGTAGTTCTTTCATGCGTGGGTAGAACAGAACAAAGGGACTATATATAACTGTAGCAAGAGCCTTGGTTTCTGCACAAAATTTCAAAGTCTGCTTCTTTTATCTGTGTTAAACCATGGCTTTTGCTTCTCCATATTCTCTCCATCTCATTCTACTTCTTGTACTGCTAGTTTCTGTTGTAGCTCAAACATACCAGAATATAACATTGAGCTCCTCATTAACTGCAGCACTTGATAAAAACGATTCCAGGAAATCTCCATCTGGAGATTTCGCATTTGGATTCCAACAGGTAGAAGCTGGAATGTTCTTGCTAGCCATATGGTTTGACAAAATACCTGAAAAAACCATTATTTGGTCGGCCAATGGTGGAAATCTGGTGCAACAAGCTCCATAATTCAACTTACAACATATGGCCTCAGTGACGAACAAGGAAAGCAAGTATGGGCTCCATTGGATGTAACTGGTACTGTTTCTTACGCGGCTATGCTTGACACAGGAAATTTTGTGTTGGCAAGCAAGAACTCAGCCAACTTGTGGGAGAGTTTCAATCATCCAACTGACACATTGGTGCCCACACAAATATTGAACACCAACGGCAAACTTGTAGCCCGTTATGCACAGACAAATTATTCAAGTGGAAGATTTAAGTTATCGATGCAAGCGGATGGAAATCTTGTACTCTACACAAGTATGGATCCGCAAAGGAAGAGTTATTGGGAAACCAATCCCGGCAACGGTTTCCAATTTATCTTCAACCAGTCTGGCAATATGTACCTAGCAGATAAAAATGGAAGCATACTGTTCAGCCTTCCAGAATCAGAAAATGCTTCATCTGAGGACTACTACCAGCGAGCAATGCTTGAATATGACGGGGTCATCAGGCATTATGTCTATCCAAAGAACAGTAGTTTTACTGCTGCAGGGCACACCAACTGGTCCGTTCGGTCCTATGTCCCAGAAAATATTTGCAAGGGCATCACGCAGAGCACAGTTAATGGGGCTTGCGGGTTCAACAGCTACTGTTTTATAGGAAATGATACGAGACATAACTGCCAGTGCCTGCCTGGATACTTGTACTTGGATCCAGATAATGTCATGAAAGGATGCAAACAGGGTTTTGTCCCACAAACATGCGGTGAAGTGCAAGAAGCAGAGCATTTTAATTTCCAGGAGTTGATCAATGTGGATTGGC